ATGCGGCTTTCACCCGTTTGCTTTTCTCCGCGCAGATGCATCTAACCCTAGTTTGAAGGCCCACCCTGTGTGTGTGTGGTACGATGGGCTTCAGGTGCTCATCATCAACCCTCTGGCTTGTACCTGTGCGTATCTATTTTAGCCTCAAACCCGATTCACCACCTCCGTAATTACCGCCGCATCCGCTTCTTATGTCGCGCAAGAACGAAGCACGCGTGTGGCGGCAGCTAAGTTGATCGAATGTTTTGATCGGTGACAGTAGTTCTGTGGGACAGCACACAGCACCGCACAAAGTGGAAACTGCAATGGTTGGTCCGGATAGCCTTCTTGTGTAGCACAGCAGCACACAGCAGTATTTTCGCCTAGTCCTGCCAGCACAGCAGCACATCCCGAGCAGGATAACTGGAAAGTTTTGTCCCAATACGCCCAGCACCCAGCACTAAGTAGTGAACTGTTTCGTGACAGCNTACTGTGGGACAGCACACAGCACCGCACAAAGTGGAAACTGCAATGTTTGGTCCGGATACCCTTCTTGTGTAGCACAGCAGCACACAGCAGTATTTTCGCCTAGTCCTGCCAGCACAGCAGCACATCCCGAGCAGGATAACTGGAAAGTTTTGTCCCAGTACGCCCAGCACCCAGCACTAAGTAGTGAACTGTTTCGTGACAGCGGGTCGGGTGGTGCTTTTGAGGGCTTGCCCCCGCAAAAACCATCCCTCGCTCCGTGCAATTAATTTTTTGGTCGCATGGCACCCCCGGTGCTCAACCCCAGGTAATTTNCCCAGGTAATGAACGGTTTAAGAAGTATGGAGCCGAGGTTATTCAGACTTCGTCGATGAGGTACGTCACCAGTGCTACGTGGCGCGTCGTTCGTGTTCGATTGGCGAGTTTGTTGATGTTCTGCCCCACCCGGAATGACTCTGAAGCCCTTCCCGACTCCATCGCTTTATCCCACTGTACCCGCAGAGCCGACGTGGAGGGAAGGAGGTTGTGGTCGGTCCGAACTGCTTACCTGCTGGCCTTCCGCCGTCCAATGTGCCCGAGCGTGTGTCCGTNGCAGCACACAGCAGTATTTTCGCCTAGTCCTGCCAGCACAGCAGCACATCCCGAGCAGGATAACTGGAAAGTTTTGTCCCAATACGCCCAGCACCCAGCACTAAGTAGTGAACTGTTTCGTGACAGCGGGTCGGGTGGTGCTTTTGAGGGCTTGCCCTCGCCAAAACCACCCCTCGCTCCGTGCAATGAATTTTTTGGTCGCATGGCACCCCCCGGTGCTCAACCCCAGGTAATGAACGGTTTAAGAAGTATGGAGCCGAGGTTATTCAGACTTCGTCGATGAGGTTTGTCACCGGTGGTACGTGGCGCGTCGTTCGTGTTCGATTGGCGAGTTTGTTGATGTTCTGCCCCACCCGGAATGACTCTGAAGCCCTTCCCGACTACATCGCTTTATTCCACTGTACCCGCAGAGCCGACGTGGAGGGAAGGAGGTTGTGGTCGGTCCAAACTGCTTACCTGCTGGCCTGCCGCCGTCCACTGTGCCCGAGCGTGTGTCCGAAGCCCTCAAAGCGGCACTGGAGAAGGAACCAGACGTTCTTACGGCATCTTACACCGTAGCTCAGACGATCGCCAAGACAACCCACCTCACCCTTCAGGTTACCACGATCAACAACGAGCGAATGTGCTTGGCGCAATTTCATGCGCGTCACCCATCGTTGGAAACGTTCAGTGTACGCGGGATTTATCTCGGTTTATTTTCGTGTCTTGCGTCTGAAGTGCTCTTGCCCGCAATCGCTGCTAGGAAGAACACCCCGCTGCGTCTTCGAATCCTTCTCGACTGACTGCAACCCTCACACGCGCACGTTCCTTTCTTTTTTTTTTTTTTTACCCGTCCGTGCAGGGTGACCACCACAGCCCCAAGCTAGTGATGAAGAAGCCGAGGAGAGCCAGTAAGGCGCCGAAAGAGGTGTCCGACATCCCCGTGTGGGGCGAATTGATCGTTTACCCTTCGCCCCAGGCCGCCAAGGATTCGCTGACCCAGGAGGAGGTGGATGAAGAGTACGTTCGTCTCCTTCGAATCGCCACCAACGCTCAGCTTCAGCTTATGCTGGAACCGGGTACGGAGCGTTGCACTCCTGAGGCAGCGTTGTACTTGAGGGTAGCTGCGACGTGCCCCGTCTTTTGGGTGAGGTCGGAATCAAAGACAAAGGCCGACCTTGACATTAGCTGTGATATCCCTCAGCGCGGCCTTCGGGCGAACATTCTAGAGACTGTCAGCTCTTCTGGCGACGGAAGTAGTGGTAGTGCGGTGAGGGTCTGTCATGTTCGAAACAAGCCATCCGCAACAAGTAACTACAAGGAAGAGGCTCTGTTCGTTAGCACGGAATGTCGGCGAATCGTTGGTTCGTTGATGTTCGACTCTGTCGTAGCAGGCGTTCAGGACGGGGAGGATGAGGATGAAGAGGAGTGATGAGGCTTTTTAGCACTTGTCGGCGGTGCTCAATAAAAACACCAGGGGGATCGTGCATAGCTACTAAGATATAGGTAGGTGGCGATTGCTCTCTTTTGGGTATCTGTTTTCGGCCGTGTTCGTATTCTTCGGCTGTGTTCAACTATCAGTAAAATAGTACGTCGCGATGAACAGAACCCGCGTGGTTTCACAGAAGCTTTGGGTCATTGTCTCTGTAGGTATTCAGCAACTTGCGTCTTCCCGGCTGTGCAAAACGGGCACCATTCTTATTTTGAAGACGGCACCAGTTCACAAGCTGTACATGTTCAATCTTCATGTACACTTTCGAAGCTCTTCCTTCTCCCGAAGTACCCTCCCTCAACACATACACGAGGCGGTGCCGCAATAATTGTGCAGCGTCGAAAGCCTCTGATCAGTCCTGTTTCCGAGGATTTTACTACTCGTCGTGTTTTTCGCCATGGTAACAACAGGTATTTGGCGTGCTCACCAACGCCTGTATGAACTACTTCTGCCCGCGGTTACCCCCCGAAAGCGGATTCGATCATAACTAAATCCAATGGGTGAACACAAGACGGGGGTGGTGTCATTCCCATTTCAAAATTAGTTCCCATTTTTCTCGCAACCTTACGGCGTACTTCTCCGGCGTACTCTAGCGGCGATACGATTTTGCTCTTCAAAACCGTCAATTTGATGCGTGCATCGAGGTACGGGTTTGCGAGTATTGGGTGCACAGCTTCCCTTCTTGTGCTCTGCCCTTTTCCGCTACCTTGGACATGCGTGCATTCCACGAGCAGTCTTTTGCGATCTCTACTCAGAGGAGTGTGTACTGGTTCACTACTGCAATCTCCTCGACCCCTCACTTTCATCTATGTTCTACTTGTCCCTCCTTGTTCTCGTTGCATACCATGACGGCACTCTTCTGAACGTTGGCAGACAATCTCCACTTATCAGTAAACTTCTTCGCCGCGTCAATTTGCAGTTGCAGTCCCTCAGGGGTGTCCGACATACCGACAAAATCATCCGCAAACAGCATTCCTGAAACCGANCGCGTCAATTTGCAGTTGCAGTCCCTCAGGGGTGTCCGACATACCGACAATATCATCCGCAAACAGCATTCCTGAAACCGACGTTTCCGTGTCCCCTGCCATTACTCCCTTCCGGACTGCCTCCCATCCGCTCCTGCTGCTTTGTGGCACTTGTTAGCTTGTTTACACACGCCTCAACCTCGTCCTCAGTGAACTCCTTTTCTAG